CAACTCAAAGCCGACAATTCGGAAAAGCCCGGTTACAATTGGCCCAAGCACCGGCCAGGACTATCAAACATTGAAGCAAACAATGGAAGAGGCCGAAATTGCTCGGACCCCAAAAAGACATAGCCAAATGCCTCGTCATCTAATAAGTGATGCGCATGGATGGATTAACGAGATTCCCTCTGTCCCTGCGGCTATCCGGCGAAACCGCGGAATTAGCGGGGAAAGAAGATACAATCATGTCATTAGTGTAAGGTTTTTATGGCCAGTTATGAGACAAAAGATTACTACTAATGATATCGCTAATGAGCTCGTCCAAAATATCCAAACAAGAGGTTTTTTTTATTGGAACAACCTGTCACCAGCGACATAATAACAGCTCTATAAAATCACTGCGAAACATTAAATCACCTGGGATTGACGAAATTAGTAAGAAATTATACCATACATAACTTTGTGAAACACTATAAAAATATAGTTCACACAATCAAAAGCTTTTATATAAAAAAAATGACGAATCAGAACTGAAAAATTACCGACCCACCACAACCCTTAATTAATATAGATTACAAAATCATTTCAAAAATTATAGTCAAAGGAGTATGACGAGGGCCTGTTTCAAGCCGATTTTATCAAATTGGTTGGCGTCTTTTTCTGAAATATGAGGTACAAAATACTACTTCAGCTTTGAATAAAATTGAAGACAATTTCAATTCATCAAAGGACAGTCCTGATTATAACTGAGAGAAAGCAATCCCCAAATCTCACAATTGATGTATCATTCATAGGTACCGATAGGCCAACAGACATGAATAACAATGTTAGAGATAATTTAGCAATGCTTCCTTCAACCTAGAATTAAGTCTTATGCTCTGTTTGAACACCCGATGGAAAACAATAGATTTACAACATTTCCTAATGTTTTCAATGCATCGAGGATTTATTTAATAAGAAAGCCAATAACTGTTGCATCAGGAGAAAGAAGCTTTTCAAAAATGAAACTAATTAAAACATACTTGGGGTCTGCGGTCTCATACGAAAGACTTAACTGTTTGTCAATGGTTCCTCTAGACACTGAGATTCGTCCATTATAACAACAACGCTTTTTAAGATATCACAAAAATAAAACATCCCCGGGACATTGTTGCTGATAGACAATCTGAAACAAATTGGTCTGGGGGACAAGATTTTTGGTGCAATTAAAAGTATGATATCAAACCTCGCATTGACGACAATGGAGAGCTGTCATATGAAATCTCCATCGGGCAGGGATTTCCAGTAAACATATTACTGTATGCAATGAGCGGCCCTTAGCTAGATCAATGCAATCAAATCTCAATATTCGTGGAATCTAACTAGGTTCATATGAACATAAGTTAGATCAATACGCAGTCGACATAACCTTCACAGTAATATTACAAGGATTATATCAAAGTTGATGCAAAAATACTAGGAGTGGGTTTCGGACAAAAAGACGGTGTGGGGCGATATTGAAATCAAACAAATGGAAATCGACAGATGAAATGCACAAGATGCTGCAAGGGATCGATATCAGACAGGGGCGCAGCCACGGGTTACGGAGTCGCAATTCACCTAAGGCTCTCACTAACAGACACAAGTGATAAATGTGAGAAAGCTTTGTTTTATGGTGTTCACTTTTTCTGCGCCCATCATTTGTGTTCAATTTCTAATTTTTTCATGGAGTGCGTCAAGAGATTTTAGGTGAAAATATTATTTTGACCCCATAGAAAAACCATTATTGCTGTTTTTTTTAATAAATAAGCAGCATCGAGTATTCATACAATGACAAACTTGGTCCTTTTTTAATTATAAGACGAGAATAACACAGACATGATAGAAAATTAAATGCATAAAAAAAGTCTATCATCAGCTTTATAAATATTCTAATCCTGGGGTCAGTAATGATAATATTGTTTTCTTTAAACTGGTACCGTAATTTAGGAACTGTGATATGGAAGATCACATCAGAGTCAGACTCAGAAAACAAAAATCAGAATAAAATTTATTTGTGTTGTGAATTCACTCCTTATATAATAGCTGCAGTTAGCATTTTTGCTGATGTGAACTCACAGTTCTGCATGAAATATGAAAGTCAAACTTCGATGGCCGCCGCTGCGTGAGAATTAATACTTGTGTATAAAAAAGGTTCTTTATTAATACAGTTTCAGACTTCAAGAAATTTCCTAAAGGTGTATAATAGTTTTCCGATATCCGTTGAAAATGTTCGAATATAAAATCATTTTTTTTAATGGACGACATGTAGCATGTAGATGCTTGAAATTGGCAAAAATATTGACCAATGTCGGGCAAGGGAAAGCGAGCTACCCGCCGATCTGGAATTTAGTCAACAGAACTACACACAATTTTTAGTTTGTGAACACATTGCGACACCGTGGGTATAAAATATCCTGGTTGCGCCCCTGCTATCAGAGGAGATCCTACAAGCTGACTAAGCCAAGACATGGTCGCTGTTCGGATGAGATTTTTAAAATACAGATGCAATCAAATGCAGCCCACCTGACCTATACCTCAAAAATGCAGTGGCTGTAAAAGCAATGAACACAATTCATTAAACCAGAGGAAACTACATTGCAAAGCATTCTGCAAAACATGAGAGAAATGTAGCATGACGAATCACTTTGCAACAGTGTGTCAACAGAAGAATTCTGCAGTGGAGTTAGCAGCATCTGCTAACCACTCTGAACAGAGAAACAACATAACAGAGACCATAATAATCAATGCCACCACAAACGCCCATGATGGTTATCTATGCCACAAACATATTTCTACATATCCTGACAGTGGGGCCAGCATATGCCTTGCATGATTAGCCCATTTAAATACATTCGTTTCACAACAGTGTAATCTAACACTATGTAAGAAATTTGTGCAAACAGTAGAATACTTCAGACTGGCCTGTCACGGCTCGGTGGTGGGGTGGAATTCGCATCCCATGCGAAGTGGTAATGTGTGAAAGAATTGCTGGACTCCTCGCCGCCGCAGGATGGCTCATGTTACCGCTGGTTGGTTATGGCTTCCTCCACCATCAAGTCCATGCTTCCGAAAACAAAATAACTGGCTAACTAATCCCATACTCGACATGAAATGGTAACCGGAAAAGAGGCTGTGGTTCGCCAGATTATTAAACTGTCTTTCCCCTACCCTGGGATAAATATGTGAATCTTATCTATACTTCCATGCCACTATTTAATTCTCTACTAGGCAGCAAGTTCACAAACAAAACTGTATTTTTCTCCCGAAATTATACCTGAAACAGAGATACATGCATTGAACCTAACATCCTTCCCAATTACGATGAATACCATCCAATGACTTTCATCAGAAAAATAATTTTCATCATCATTCAAGGTAGGACTTAACAACTCTGTTCACAGCTACTTTGATTAACAAACACAACAGACCCCAACCCCCAGTACGCTAACCTTTATAGCTATCTGAAAACAATCTATGTGAAAAACTAAAAACCTATTAAGGATCCTTAGCCAAAAGCCCTTTTAACAAGACTGGTGCATTCCCTCATAGGATGATGGGAACAACTACCTACCCTATAAGGAAACTGCACTAGTGATGTATAAAGTGCTTTTAGGTGTCTAGCTTATCATACATACTCTTTTCAGATGGCTAAGAAGGTAAGAATACTGGTTGTTCGGGGTGAGGGGTCCGTTGTATTCGCTGTCTGATGCAGCAGTGAACAGTGTCGTTCTGCCCTACCTTGAATGATGATTTTATTATTTTCCTGATGATAGTGATTGTCTGACATCCATTGGAATTGGGAATGATTTTGAGTTCAATGCATGTATTAATGCTCTGGTATATTTTTGGGACAAATATGCAGTTTCGTTCGTGAACTGGCTGACTCATCAAGAATTAAACGGTGGCATGGAAGTGACAGGCCAGTCGAAAGTTTTTGTCTGTTCGCACAGTTTCTTACACTGTGTTAGATTACATTGTTGTAGACCGAACATATAAAAAGGGCTAATCCTGCAAGACATATACTGGTTACACTGTCTGGATATGTAGAAATGCATTTGTCGCGTAAAATGACCATCATAGGCAGTTATGGTGACATTGATTAAGATCTCTGTTATGTTGTTTTCTGTTCAGAGTAATTGGCAGATGCTGTTAACTCCATTGCAGAATCCTTCTGTCAACACACTGTTGCGAAGCGATTCGTTATGCCACAATTCTCTCAGGTTCTGCAAAATGCTTTGCAATGTAGTTCTCTTCTGATCAAATGAACTGCTTCATTGATTCCACAGCCATAACAGTTCCAAGGCATAGGTTAGGTGCAGTGGTGGGATTCAGCCGGTTCGCACAGGTTCCATAGATACGCCCCACTGAATTTTATGAGATCAGCGAACCAGTTAGCATTACTGGTTACTGTCAATGACTTTTTATAACAGAACCGGGTGAAAAATTTAACTTTTGTGATGGAACCGGCTGACAAAAAAATTGAATCTGGTTAGGTGATCTGCCTTTGATTGCGTCTCTGACCTCGAAACTGATTGATGATCAGTGCTGGAAAGAATATAGAGTCTTGGACATAGTCAACTTATAGTTGGAAGTGAAATTCAAGTCTTGTACACTTCCCCTTGTGGTTGACTTATCTTTGGCTGTGGATTATTTTAATAAGACTTTAGCATTAGATCTTCGTCAGTAAGAACTACATGTGTGGGGTGGCACCTTCATATGGTGGATGAAATTACTCAATACAACACCGTAGTTGTTATTAATAACAAGAAGACATCCACAGTTGTTGAGAAATTCACGGAGCACTGGATTAGAATATTTGAAGGACCTAACCGAGTACTTTCCGATATGTGAAGAACTCAATTCGACAAAAATTCATCTACTCCAGCATATTTTTACGGAGCAATGGATTATGTCTTTGAATTTCCTCCTATTATTAAAGTGAAAGATGGAACTGATTGAGAAACAACACTTTACTAGGAAGTTAGCACTAAAAAATAACTTATCAATAGTAAGGTTTTAGCCCTAATCTACTTGTTATCGGTAGAAACATATAACTAACATCTATTATTCGTTCTGTTCTTTCAAAACGAGTGACTACTAGAGCATATGTTGCAAAACTTATAATAGCACTCCATATTGCTTGCAAAGCATTTATTGAGTCTAGGTCATCTGAAGAAGATTTGAAAGGTATTACAAAAATGAACAAGGGAGCTAGTTGGTGCTCTCACAAATGGAGTGTGTGTATCACAATATAGATGTTCTAAGAATTCCCCTGTTGTTACTTGTAGCATGGAAAAAATGGAAGTTGAATACCACTGACATGTATAATAATAAATAAAGCATTCCTGCTGTTAAAGATTACATCACATAACAATGTCAACACTACCATTTGTACAAAATGTGGCCCCTAAATGAACTACAGAGAGAAACTAATTGCAGAATGAATCGACCCTACTGGGGTGATACAACCAGTGTGCGAGAGAACTACCAGAACTTCCCCCAAGAACAACAGTTACGAACATTACTTCTCTAAAATACCATCTGTTGACATAAAAATTTGAGATAAACATGCCTAATTGTATTTAGTTTTGATTAGTTCTCTAAAATACCATCCGTTGACATAAAAATGTGAGATAAACATGCCTAATTGTATTTAGTTTTGATTATTATTTTTGCGATCTTTCAAATTCGGTATTGCGCTAGAAAAATCTCAAGATCTTCAATGAAATTTATTGAAATATCTTCTTCTACCATTTATCCATTAGTAAAATTAGTTTCAACAACACAAACACACAAAAGTATCATTTCTAGATACAATGGTCACCTAATAACTAACAAACTGAAAAATTCATTCATTCTGAATCTGAATCATTCCAAACCAACACACACACCAATATCTTTTACATCCTGCAACACAAAGGTTATTAACCAGAACATTACCATGAACTAGCAGTGAGAAGACAAAGATGCTCAACTACAGATTTCTTTGACATGGTGACACTGTCATAAAACATTTACAGTACAGAATTACTAAAAATATCTTTTAAATAAATCTATCGAGCAATCAAGTAATAGAAGCTTTTTTGGGTAGAAACAGGAATTTGCATACAATAAACGATAGAATAACTGTAACCTCCAAACTGGCTCATAATAAATTTAGACCTTTTTCAATTTGCTAATTTCCGGTTGGATACATTCAATTGCAAGCAAGACCCATGACAGTAAAATCATCACTACACGAAAAACACAATCACTTTTGTTTTAGGAGCACGGTGACAAATACAATATTTTAGAGGCCAAATCTAATGTAAATCGCAAAGACTTCAAATGTCTACAGCACACATTATACCATGTTAAAATATTCACTGAAGTTCAAACAATTATTTTAAATTATATTTTTAAATAAATCAAATAAACTGATTTAAATAAATCAACTTGTTTTTCTCATACTTTCGACAATTTATTTGGTATCTTAATAAAAAAGCATATAAACACAACTTAATCTTTATCCAAGCTTGGATGGATAATGAAGACAAGTGAACCAATCTCATATTCAATATTACTTCTTTTTAAATTGCCAATCAGCCTTCAAAATTCAGTCATGATTTTTCATAAGTATATCTTACAGACTCGGTTCTATTCAGCGAGATGGGGCTAAAAAGTATGTCAAACTCAAATGCCCAAAAAATTGTAAAAAAAAACCTTGAGTTTGAGTGTTTTTACATCTAGGAGAATGTTAGGCACTAATTATAACTAATTAATTTTAATAATTTTTGCACAACTTGTTTGGTTCAGCGTATAGATAAACTGAATTATTCAACAAAATTATGTTCATTTTTGCAACACACCCTTTGGGAATTGCTGCTGTAGACATTAACTGTAAATATCCAAATATATCAACACTTTCAGTACCTGAATTTGACAGCTAAAAGACGTTGTCGTCTTTTTCATATCATGCAAGTGCTTTATCTATCTCCAATAAAAATAAAAAAGAATACTACGGTGGCAAAAGCAGCAGGCTATTTTCAATGTTTTTCCACTTCTTGAGAATGATGATCAATTTCTTCCTGTCAATGGAAGGTTATAGACTAAAATAAAGACAAGACATTAAAAATATTATATGGTGTTGACGAATTTCATGATATCTTGGTATTTTTTTGGTATTTCATGTTAAAATGATTATCATTTTTCGACTGACAAATTTTTAAATATCGTTCGTTGAAGAGTCAGACAATTCTATGACATCATACCATAATTGTAAATGCGCAAATGCTTCAAAATAGAACGAATGCAAATATTATTGATGAAATTAGACTTAACAAGTTCTAAACAAAGCAATGTGTGCAATTATAAAAAAATTGATGTTCGTGTTTACATCCCCTTCCTGGTTACAATTTGACCAATCGTAAATGAATAATCGATTACAAAGTTCATTAAGTGGCAGTATTTTCATAATTAAAACTATTATTAGAAAGCCTATTCAAGTTTTGAGCTAAATCTGATAACTATGACCGGTACATATTCAAATTGATGCTATTCATCAAACTAGCATTTACAGGGATGCTGAAATCTTTTTTTGCGAGAAAAACAATTAACGGTATAATATAGACATTAACTGTAAAAAATTGATTATTATAGCATTTAGAGTTGGATAAAAACCCACTCATCATAGCTATGCAGACCATCTTGACCTATATAACTGGTGAATTGTGATCACTATAGTACTACAGTTTCAATATAGAAACTTAAGAGCTACGAACTCTAATTGGATTACGTATTGTAGGCATATATACTTAAAATTAGACCCTCTCCAAACAGGCTACAGATCACAGCAATGATTGGGAAAACACCAGGAATTAGGAGAATTGAACACAATAAAAAAAAATTATTTTCTAAATAGTACCACATAATTGCTTTATGATGTTCATTAGAAATGCTCGTGTTTTATTCATCCTCCTCACCATACAGGCCATCCGAACCAAAATATGATAATTACAAGCTGCATGTGTAATAAATTGCGTAGACAATGCAGAAAAGGAAGTTCAGTTCTTCCAAAAACTTTACCTTATTGTGTTTTGATGCATATAGTGGTCGGAAAGCTTTTATTGATCATTGTTACATCTGCAGAAAAAGATAAAAAATTGTTTTCAACTGCTCAATTATACTACAAACAAAGTAGAAATTAAAATATAAGTTACCGGGGCCTCTTCTGATTCCAAGTAATTCTCCACCCACACTAAAAAAAACACAGTCGAAATAGAATATTGGACAATGAAATACAAGCTCAAAAATAATATTCAATCAAGTGAATTGAATTTTTATTAATCAAGACAGTTGAGATTATTTCTATACTAAGAAGTAATAATGAATTGTTTTCAAACATTGGCAAACAGCCACTAATATGAATACATGCTATGAATTCAGGGATGGCCAATTCGAATAAAGTATTCGAATATCTCGTCATTCGAATATCGGAATTAGCGTTCATAAGAATATCGGATATTTGTGTGACGTCACACATTTTCGACGCCGCTTTCAAGACGTTTCCGTTGAATGAAAACATTCTGGATAGAAACTTGCGCATGATTGTATTCATCACTCATCAGCGTAACATGTTATTTAGGCCCGTAAACGCCTTTACGTTTGTGTTATTTTCTCTAAAATTTACCGCAAATTTGTTCCACGATGACGACGACAATTATTTTATTTTTGTACGCGCACGGAATTGTGAATCTGGTAAATACGCCCATCAGCGTCGAGTTTCTAAAGACAACGCAACTTTTTGATTGGAAAGCGGCAATTTAAAATACTGAAAATAATACTGTAAACAATATAAGTTTCATTGAGGCCCGCGAAAATTTAAAAAACGCTTTTCTAGGCAGTGAAAGTCGCAAAATTTCGTGTGCCTGGCACACATTATGTTTAGAAACATATCGTCACGAATTGAGGGCGGGATTTTCCTGATTATCCAGTACTTTAAATTGCCGTCGAATATTTTCGTGTTAACACGATACAAGGTTTGAAACGTGACTCTTTCCCGGGTTGTGAGAATGTATATAAGATAATTAATCTAAAGTATATTCAGCATATTTATTGATTTTTCGAACGGTTTTATCTAAAAATAATCAGAGTGGCAGCATTTCAATTGAGCGGAGTCACTGTTAACAAGTACATCTGAATACTTGCCGAGACAATTAAATTAATAAAGCAAGACATTTTAAATATGCCCGTATCGGTCACGAATATATCACTTTGCACAACAGAAAAATATATATTCGTTGTTATATTATTTGTTGTAAAAGTCGTCTCTTTTAACAGGTGGCATAATCGCGGCGATGAATATGTATTTTTAATTTACTGCTAAACTTTATATGTATATTCATTGTATGAAATGAATTATACTCTATACACTCACCAGGATTTATCATTATTTGAGATTTTTTTAACGGCGATAACGAATTGGCAAGATTGCAAAAATAAGTATTAAAATTAAATACATCAGGCAGTTTATCTCGTAATTTTAGGTCACAGATCGCCGTGGACCGAATCGTAATGTTTTTTTTTTGACATAAGAAGAAGCAACCGCGAGTTACAATGGACACATCAAATTAATATATAAAGATATTCTAGAATCTCGTAGTTGTCATGGATTGAATATTTTACGTAACAGAATGATCATTATATGCTGAAAAGACGGCTCTTTTAACGAGCGCGGAATCGCGGTGAGTGTTACAGGCGGCAATGGTAATTTCCTAATCCGAAAATCCTGGCTGCGCGGCCGGCAGTGGTGGTCATCTATCCTCTGCTAATTTATTTCTAATTTCAAACACAACAATATGTTACACACAGGGTTGTCCAAAACGAATCGAATATTCGAATGTATTCGAATACCTTTTCGGCTGATTTTCGAATAATTCCGAATAGTAGCCACTTTTCGTCGTAAACGTGGTGTTTCGTTTTACGGAAATCTTCAAACGACTTTTTACGCTGTCTCACGTATTGTAATGACGATGAATTAGAATCGGCACTTTGATTGTTTATATTCTGTGCGACCGTACGTCGCATAGTGTTGCGACACATTTGCAGGTTTGCGTGGGTGGACATTGCCGACATTCGTCTACGAGGCTTCTAATTTACAAATTCATTTCCATTACGTCGAAAAATTGACAATTACCGTATTTCCCGGCTAATAAGTCGCTTTTCTAGGCCACCAAGATAAAGTGATTTGTGACCCTTTCGTTTTGCCGATTCAGCAGAACACGACAGGAAAACACAGCTGTGGAATAACCCGTGGACGTATCTTCACAGTGTATTACTTCACATTCCAAAATTATTTCAACATTCGGGTTAAAAGGTTGTCCAAAATGATTGCGGCATTACTAATTAAATTTACCGCTCAATTGTTAAAAATAGTTAATTCTGTGAGTATGATTCTACCAAACTAACATGATCTGGTTCTAAACATTTAAAATTATTAGCGCATATCAGCATAATTGAACAGCAGGGACACAATTTTTCTACCCGTCTTATTGAAGGCCAAATGGAAAAACCCCTTTTTGGAGTGCTAAAAATAGACATCGTCCTATTTGCCATGTGGACTTATTAGCCGGAAAATACGGTATTTATAGCAGTCATTGTTACGATATCCAATAAATTGTCACAAGTTGGAAAAACAAGTCGGTTTATTAGAAAATAATTTCTGATAACGATAGTTAAAAGTATCGATCCTTTACCAGGATGATTTTTTGTTGCGCAAAATAATCCAATTCATGACTGGTACCAGCATTTAAAATGTCATGCCGTATTAATTTAATTCTGTTCAATGTAACTCATGGTTGTATCGACAATCTGTGGACATAAAATGTGTGGTAAACTGACCGATTTTATTAAAAATTGAATTCATATTTTATATTGATAAAATAATGAAAGTATTAATACCAAATACCACGGGTATTTGTGGACATGAAATACGTGGTAAACTGCCCAATTATAATTTCGGATTCGTATTTACAAAATAATTAAACTATTATAATTCTAAAATGCAACGGCGATCTGTGATCTTAAAATGTGTGGTAAACTGCCCGATTTACCAACATTTGAGTTATGATAATAGAATTAAATTAACACGGTAAGGCATTTTAAATAGTGGTATCGGTCATGGATTCGAATATTTTGCGCAGCACAAAATCATCCTAGTAAAAAGTCCATACTTTTAAATACAAACCAATGGCAACCATTATCCAAATTAGTTCCCAAGAGCGGGATAAAATATAAATTCTTTTTCTGACGTGTGACAATTATTCGTGAGTACGAAAATAAGAATAAAAAACTAATTATATTCGGCACAATATCACCGCAATCTGTGGACATAAATTGTGTGGCAAACTCGCGATTAATAATAATTTTTGATTCCTATTTCCGTATTCACAAAATACAACAGCGATCTGTGGACTTGGAATGTGTGGTAAACTACCCGATTATAAATAATTTTTGATTCCTATTTTCATATTTATAAAATAATAAAAGTATTATTACTCAAACATACAACGGCGATCTTCGGACCTCAAATGTGTGGTAAAGTTCCCGAATATAAATAATTTTTGATTCATATTTTTGTACTCGCGAAAAAATTGTCACAAGTCGGAAAAATAACTCATACTTTATCCCGCTTTTTGGCAAATAATTTGGATAATGGTTGGTATTTGAAAGTATGGGCGTTTTACTAGGATGATTTTGTGTTGCGCAAATATTCAAATCCATCATCGATACCACTATTGCCGTATTAATTTAATTCTGGTGACATGACTCATGGTATATAAAATATATACTGCAATAATCTGCAAATATGAAATGCCTGGTAATATAGCTAGGTTGTAACTTGTAGATAGCAGTTATTCCATTGCTTATTGTATGGAAATTCCTACATACATTTAGATAAGCTTCAATTAACGGATTTTATTTTCGAAGTATTCGAAATTTCATATTCGGAAAAAATAATTTCGAATGTATTCGAAATAGTGAACTATTCGGTTTTGGCCATCCCTTTACACATAAATTAATATACAAATATACTGGTTAAATATTAGAATTTTTAAAGGCATAATGGATTTTCGATTGCTGTTGCCTGTATTGCCAACAAATTTTATTACCCTTAGAAAATATACACAATTATCTGAATACAAGTAGTATTTTTGTCAATAGACTTGGCTATTATCGTAATATCATGGAACTAACGATAGAAAGCTTCAGACAACTCCTTGGCTATCTTTTCATATGGTCATTTGTACAAAGTGAATAATTTTAATAAACTGACTGTGTCACAAGTTGCTATTATTTTTTATTGATAGCTATAAACTATCAATTACTTTGTGTACATATACTGTTGGTTTGTGGCTCTATTCTGATATTTCTATTGAAACTCATTTCCTAATTTACTGGGTTTTAATGAACTAAAACAAAAATGTGTTATTTTCGATTTTAGAATGTATTCGGAATTCCAGATTCGAAAACATTATTTTAGAATGTATTCGGAATAGTTTAGTATTCGGAAATGGCCATCCCTGGCTATGATTTCCAAAAAATCATGGTTTACTCTGAATTTATTTCATTGTGACAATAGAATTAAAAAAATATATAATTAATTGAAATCTATCACCTAATGGTCAAAAATATCCTTACTAAAGTATAATACTCTGTAGAACCTAAGAACATACCCGAGTATCTTATACTCGCCGGGCTTCAGCGGCCTCATTCTGATTCTACTACTTCGCCTGGGGCCGCCTATGATATTAGTAGGCGGAACAACTGAAATTGAAAATATTGTATAAATATCCAAAATTTAGTTTGTTAATAAGTGAAAGTTAATTTGTAAAGTTGGCAGATCTTATTTCAAGCACAAGGCAATTTAATTTTTAGCCAAATAGAATATAAAATCTAAAATTGTTAACAAAATTTCTAGCTTACTAAGACGTATGGAATGTAGTAAGACACTAATCTATCATCAAATCCAATGCAGCAGCAATTTCAAAATCAAACTTCACTTTATATTGAAAATCTGAATTCAGTTTGAATAGTAAGTGGTTCTCAACATATGGTTTCAGTTGGGAGTTTATTTTCACTTTGTTGAACATAATGGGATTTAGAATTTACCAATCAAAATAACACTATAAAAAAAGGATAAGCAGGGAAGCCTTGAGTGCCGAAATCTTCGAAATGAAGCCATGGGTCCTAAAGGATGGGAAACACTGCACTAAATAATGATCCTGAATATACTACGAATAGGAAACATTAATTCAAAATTTTGTGTTACATCAAAGTTCTTTTTCTGAACCATTATAATATGAAGTTTGAAATGAAGAAAAATTGTACTTACTTATTTCCAGAGAAGATGGTACTGCGAAGTAACATTTTCTATGAAAAAAAGAGGATATTTTACTGGAATTGTAAAGTTATTGTCATTTTGAATAAAATTGAGAATGAGAACAAACGAAAAAAACATTAAAGTAAATTTGCCTTATCAAACGAGAGAGCAATGCTTAAATGATGGACATCGTTAGCAGTACAGTTGGACCTGAGAGCACAGAGTTTGCTGAAAAGTTCAGTGAACAATGAATATGGATGCAGTTTTCACATTAAATTGAATCAAAACTTTTGTTAAATAAAACAATGACGACCTGAAGTGTCACGAATTGGGTCATTTTCAGAGCACTGCTTTAATTCCAGTGAAACCCTCCATTTGAAAAAACACCCGCTACGATGCTGGTTTATATCAACAAGTCACTTACGATAATCATTAATATTGATAAAAGATAAAAATGGATTCACTGATATTATACTAACCAAATATAAACTTTGCATTACCTGGCATCGTCACTGTTCGGAGCTGTAAAAATGGAAAATTTCATATCAATTCCTATATATAATTCCTATATTAATAAAGATAAATTTACAACAAGTTACATGTAAGAATTTACCTACGGCTATCGCTAACACGCAGAAACGATAAATGTGAGAAATATTATTTTTGTTTCTTTTTTGCGCCTATCATATTTTTCAATTTCTAATTTTGTTTGTTGTGAATGCACTAATGATTGTATTTAACATCTTCGCCGATGTGAACTCACAATTCTGCTCGAAATATAAAAACCAAACTACAACATCCGCCGTTAGTGAGATTTGATATTAGTGAATAAAAAAGTGCTATAATACAATTTACCAACATTAATTGGGATGTCAGCCACCAAAACGACCGCGATGACAAAAAAATTACTGCGGGCTTCGATTATAACAAAATTATGAATAAAAAAACGCCGTATTGTTACGAAGTTTTCACTCTTCTAGTAAAGTCAAAAAAAAAAAAATTATTGTAATGCCAACGTTTCGGCGGCCGACATTCGAATTAATATTGTTTAAAATGACTGTACTCAATTATTCGATTCGTGCCATTCGATGTTCGTTAAAATAATCGAATAATTTTAAATAAACCACCGCTCACCGCAACTCACAGCGCATGTGAATAATCATTGAATGGCAATAAAAATTAACTTGATTAGAATTGAATTCAAAGTAATAGTTCCACATTTCATGCATTCCATCGGCGCTACATGCTAGCATGTTTTTGTATATATATACAATTATGACGCTACTGACATCTGTGAGTTATCGTTCTCTTTAAAAATTAAATTTTGCAATTTTCAATGTTTTATTTTTAAATTCGGGTACCCGCCAACTACAAATTAATGTTCGATGTTTGAAATAGGACATGCAAAATATTCACCAGAGGCCGTCAGGCAAAGAGAGGCGAGCTACATGTGGAACTTCGCTGTGCAGCGCATTCTTTTATTACACACGTTACGTCATCATGAATTGCACTTTTGGTGCACTGTTTCAATTTCACCGTAATCCCTCGTTGGAAAAATCCTTGCTGCGACCCTGGCCGTGATTAGTGGTGGGCAAAATATTTATTTTTTAATCGAATTATTCGAAGATCTTTACCGAACACCAAATAATGGGTATTATTGATTCAACCAACAGTAATTGAGATGTCGGCCAGCCAAGCGATCTAACGATCAAAATATTTTTTCCCAATTTACTAGAAGCCCGAAAACTCAGTAACAATGCGCCGTTTTTATTCCATAATTTTGTCGTCATAATAGCAGACCGCAGTATATTTTCGTCACTGCTATCATTTCGGCAGTTCACATCCCAATTAATGTTGGCAATCTACATTAAGAACTATTTTTATTCACTATAGTGAATATTCATTATCGCGCAACGGCGGATATCGTAGTTTGGTTCCCGTTTTTTTTTTGTTAATCATGGTGATATTTGCCGGAAAAGATAAAAACTGTTTCCAATTGCTCAATTATACTACAAACAAAAAAGAATTAAAAAAATATGTTACCTTTCCCTCTCGTAACTCGTTTGCCACTGACACTAAAAAAAGACAAACAGTCATTCCATTGAAAAAATAGAATATTGGACAATAAAATGCAGGCTCAATAATATTATTCAATGGAGTGAATTGACTTTTCAATAATCAAGACAGGTTAGAAGTAATAATGAATTTTTTCCAAACATTGACAAACAGCCACTGATATGAAGACAGGCTATGATTTCGAAAGAACTGGAAAAGCAATCAATAATATGTTGGCAAAACAGGTTGATAGTCTCAGATTCAAATCCCATATCCACCTGATCCCTCAAGGTGTAAAAAATTAGGTAGGTACAGTCGAACTATAATATACCAATCTGTCCAAAAAAAAACTATCACTATGACCTAACCGTCAAAAATATCCTTACTAATGCATAATCAATACTTTGTAGAACCGAAGAACATACCCAGGTACATTGCTTTTGCCAGGCTTCAGCTGCCTCATTAGTAGTCGCTGGCTACGCCTGAGGCAGCTGTTTTGCTCGAAAGGTGGTAACGGTGGAACAACTGAAATAAAAAACAATGTTAATATATGCAAATTCATGTTGTTAATAAATAAAAGTTAATAAAGGATGGGAACCACTGCACTAAATAATCATTTTGAATATCCTAGGAATAGTAAACAATGTAGAAAATATGTACTTACTTTTGTCTATTGACTCCGGTGAGGGAGATCTTCTATATAAAAAAGAGGATATTTCACTTGAATTTAAAGTTAGTGTCATTTTGAATAAAAATAGAGTACGAGTCCAAACAAAATAAACATTAAAGTAAATTTGCCTTATCAAATGAAAGGGCAATGCTCAAATATATGGATATCGTTAGCAGTACAGTTAGACCCGGTTTGTACATTAAACTGAATCAATACTTTTGGTCAAATTTAGGTGTCTGATTTTGATAAAATACTGGCTTTCTAGCAAACTCTTACATCCAAGTACTGAAATTTTGGTTCATTCATTTGGTTTCAAGTCCCAAGGCAAACCAAACAATTTTACAGTCTCAGAAGCTCAATTTCCCATATTTTCTGTTCTTTTCAACATATTAGTAACAATCTGGACTTTGAAAACAATGAAGACCTGAAGTGTCACGAATTGGGTCATTTTCAGAGCACAGCTTTAATTCCAGTGAAACCCTCCATTTAAAAAAAATCTGTGCTACGATGCTGGCTTACATCAACAAGTCACTTAATCATCAACATAGATGATAGATAAAAATGGATTCACTGATATTATACTAACGGAATATAAACTTTGCATTACCTGGCATCGTCAATGTTCAGAGCTGTAAAAATGGAAAATTTCATATTAATTTATATACATAATTCCTATATTAATATTAATCAGGGTTGCACATGATTGAATATGTTTGTGCATAATATTCATAAGCAAATACTGAATGTATAGTTATAAATGTATGGAGCAGTGGCGCATCTAGGATTTTTCTAATGGGGGGCTGGGGTTACGATTAACAGTGCGCCACATCTTTGTCTGACAGTGTTTGGTAAATATTTTGTAAGTCCTATTTTGAACACATACTAATATCGACTATTGATCCATAGTCAGCGGGTACCCACTTTTAGAAATAAATCATTAAAAAAGTGTGAAAATTTATTTTAGAGAAAATTATAACTCACGAATGTCAGTGGCATTATAGGCCAACCGTTTATATGCACAAAAACAGGATGGCACTTAGCCCCAATCAAATGAAATTGTAATTTAAAGTTAATGAAGTTGATTATTCATTGCCATTCAATGAGTATTTACATGCGCCTTAATTAATTAGTGGTGTGCAATATATATATTTTTTTAATTTGATATATTCAAAGATTTTTGATAAACACCAAATAATCTAAACGATCTATCGATCAAAATATTATTTTTGCAATTTACCAGAAGACTGAAAACTCGGTAACAGTACGTCATTTTTTATTCCATAATTTTGTCGTCATAATCACAGACCGCAGTATATTTTGTCACTGCGACCATTTCGGCGGTTCACATCCTAATTAATGTTGGTAATCTACATTAACCCCTTTTTTTATTCACTAGTGAATATTAATTATTGCGCAACGACGGATATCGTAGTTTGATTTCCAGGTTTGTTTTTGTTAATGATGGTGATATCTGCTGAAAAATATAAAAACTGTTTCAATCGCTCAATTATACTACAAACAAAAAAGGATTTAAAATATATTTTACCTTTCCGTCTCTTGACTCGTTTGTCAGAGACACTAAAAAAAGACAAACACAGTCAATTCCATTGAAAAAAAAGAATATTGGACAATAAAATACAGGCTCAATATTAATATTCACTCAAGTGAATTGAATTTTCAATAATCAAGGCAGGTTAGATTATTTCTATGCCAAGAATTTATAATGAATTGTTTCCAAACATTGGCAAGCCAATGGACCAATATTTCGAAAGAACTAGGAAAGCTGTCCAATATATAGGGCCAAACTATGTTAGCAAAACAGGTTGATAGTCTCGAGTTCAAATCCCATATCCACCAGATTCCTCGGGGTGTAAAAAATTAGGTAGACACTAGACAGTCAAATTATAATATATCAATCCGGTGACCGTACATTTGAACCCATGCGTATATCCACGGGTTCAATCTATATGCGGGTGCTAAAACCCATGGGTTAGGGTTAGTATGGGTTTAACTATCCGTGACACAAAAAAAATTCCATAGGTGCAATAGCATACATGTGCAATTGTCATGGGTTCAAATGTACGTTGGTTCAAATGTAATGGAACCTATCAATCCGTCCATAAAAGCCTATCATATGACCCGACGGTCAAAAATATCCTTACTAATGTATAATCAATACTTTGTAGAACCGAAGAACATACCCAGGTTCATTGCTTCTGCCAGGCTTCAGCTGCTTCATTAGTAGTCGCTGGCTACGCCTGAGGAGGCTGTTTTGCTTTAAAGGTGGTAAAGGTGGAACAACTGAAATAAAAAACAATGTTAATATATGCAAATTCATGTTGTTAATAAATAAAAGTTAATAAAGGATGGGAACCACTGCACTAAATAATCATTTTGAATATCCTAGGAATAGTAAACAATGTAGAAAATATGTACTTACTTTTGTCTATCGACTCCGGTGAGTGAGATCTTCTATATAAAAAAGAGAATATTTCATTTGAATTTTAAAGTTAGTGTCATTTTAAATAAAAATAGAGTACGAGTCCAAACAAAATATTCATTAAAGTAAATTTGCCTTATTAAAAACCAGAGAGCAATGCTCAAATATATGGACATCGATAGCAGTACAGTTAGACCCGGATTCAGTTTTCACATTAAATTGAATCAATTTAGGTGTCTGAATTTGAAGAAATATCGGCTTTCGAGCAAACTCTTTCATCCAAGTACTGAAATTTTGGTTCATTCATTTGGTTTTAAGTCCCAAGGCAAACAATTCGACAGTCTCAGAAGCCTAACTTTCCATTTTTACTGTTCCTTTCAAAATATCAGTAATAACCGGTTACCATCTGGATGTTAAAAACAATGACGACCTGAAGTGTCACAAATTGGGTCATTTCCAGAGCACTGCTTTGATTCTAGTGAAACCATCCATGAAAAAACTTGCCCTGAGATGATGGTTTACATCAACAGTCATTTACCGGTAATCATAACGATTGATAAAAGATAAAAACGAATTCACTGATATTATGCTAACTTTAATATAAACTTTGCATTACCTGGCATTGTCGATGTTCGGTGCTGTAAAAATGTAAAATTAAATATCAATTTGTATACATAGTTCCTAAATTAATGAAGATCAGGGTCGAATAGGTTTGTGCATAATATACATAATTCAACGAAAGCAAATACTGAATGTATACAATTATAAATGTATTGGAGTACAGTAAATATTTTAATTTGGACATCTCATCAGTGACAGCTTGGTCAAAAAGGATATAAACATGAAAGTGATAGTCTAGCGATACAAGTGCTAGAACCAACCGAGTCGCAAATTATACATCTCAGGTTCAGATCCTTTGTTCACCACCTCACCCAGGGTATTGAAAATTGTGTAGGCAAGCAGTAAGAAGAAAATTCTGTTTTTTTTTCAAAAATAGTACATTCTTACACATCTTTAGTTATCAGTGGATGCTTGTCTGGGGCCCTGTTCGAAGCAAATGGACTAAACATTGAATGAAAAAAAATAAAACGTTTTTGTAAGCATGGAGAGCTGATTTCAGAATAAGAGATACACATGCTTGCACAATACTTGTGAGTTGTGCCAGAGCGTTCTACTAGCAAAGTATTTCGCCTTGCTATTGAAAATACTTACTCATAAATCCGGTGTCGATCCATCTAGCAGTCGGCAGATCCAATGATGGTAATGAATTCAATACCATCATTGGATCCAATTTTCGTTTTTTTGGCCGTTTTCTTTTCACACAGTACGAGTCGGAAGGTCTCCTTGAGTCTTCCGACTCGCTGTGGATGATGTCAACAACTGAATGAAATACATAAATATCAGCATCAATTAATTGATATACATTTAGATTTTTGGTACAGAATTAGGTGCAGGTGTCAAAGTGAAAGTTTGAATCTTCCAGAATCTGGAGTTGCAATTCAAAACTCATATATTTGGTGAAAGAATTTCAAATAGCTTTGTGTTCAACGAGCATTCCCAATAGTCAAATAAAAAGGCTTGTATATGCCAGAGTTTTTGTGTTTCATAGACTGGAGTCATTTTCAAATTTTTAGAGGTGAAAGTAGAGTCAATTTTCTCGTATAACTGACTAACTAACCATTTAATTCTTTTTTTTCTTCTAATCGCCGTTTTAGACAGCTGTAAAGCAAAAGATAACAAGTAGAATGAAATACAAAACAATGTAGAATGGTAAACAAGGGTGATTACTGCAAAGAAGTTTTAATTACCATTAGATAATAAGGACCATATATTTTCAACCACCCAAGCGATAAATATTTCTGATTTCTCGAAACCTGCAATGTGTGTTCCTAACTTTTTAATCTAAATAATTTTTCAATCTTAAAATTTCTTTTAAACTCAAATAATCGAATGAATAAATTCATGGGCCAACATAAGTAGGATATTAAATGTTCCTTCCCCGGGGTATTGTAAACATTTTTACATACCATATTGGTTAAGAATTTTTATGTAATAATGAAACATCTATATTTTTTGGTGAATCAATGAAAAAATATGTGATCTTGCACCATATAATGGTTTTCGCTTGACATTGGTTTTGTTAAATTATTTAAAAGTGATTTTAAAGACCGAAAAAAGTCAAATATTTACATGTGAATATTTTCTGAATTTCAAATAAAAATTTTACCTCAACTTTTGCTTCTTGGCAAAAACTTCATGGTTCTGAAAATCAAGCACAAGGGATATTTAACTACAAACCAGAGATGGGCCAGAAGCACATAACTACAAGGTTCACCATTAAAGAAACTTTCTTCAACAAAGTTGCAACACTGATTGTGCATTTACCACTTTTTTCATACTTGAATAACTGAATGTTTATACAAACAAAAACCATATAAAAAGAATACCTCATCAAAATACATGCAAAACCTATTTTTGGTCAAGCTGAGAGATTTCCAAATTGAATCAAAAATTTAAAATTATTGATTATAAACTATTAGTTATATTACAATTCTTGATTTTAAGAATACTTTATTTTTTTTAAAAAATTTTGTATAAAAAATTGCCATTTAATTTTTTAAAACAATAATACCAAAAAACTGTATCCTGTATATTACTGGTTTCTATCAATCCAGGACTGTCGAGTGTCTATCGCTAAACATGGCAATTTGAGTAAATGTGAATACACTCAGGGCAGTCCAAATTTTTGAAAGAGGGAGGTGTTAGGGATAGGGCTGGGCACAATATTCTAATAACGGATAGCGAATATATGAACTTTTACTATTCGGATGTCTGGTACCAGGGGACCTGCGTCTTTTTGCTTGTATATGTAAATCGTGCATCTTTAATTCCCTCATGAATTGTGCAAGAATCCACCCACAGCGCTCACTAACGGACAAATTTTAAAAAACTCCGTAGTTTTGTTATAGTGTTTTTACTTTCTCTTTGCACCTGATGCATCGTTTCAACTCCCCATTTTGCAAAAAGCACACAGACACCACTCTGTAATTTTTTTTCAATTCTGGCTGATGGGATGTTATTAGCCATTCCATGCATGAACGGAACATACAATTCTTAACAGAAATTGGTGAAATGATGTGAGCATATTCAATTTAAGGTCGTCAGAATTTTTGAGATATATAAATAGCATCAATTTGAAACTGACAAGTAAAGTTTTTTTTAAAGCTTGTATTACCGTATTTCCCGGCGAGTGAGTCCGTTTTCTTCCTGGATTCAGGTGCTCCAGTTTTTTTAGGTGATCTCTGGTGATTGAATGTCGAAAATAAAAATTGTAATTATAGGTCACCTCAAATAATAATTACTGAAAGGAACTTTATGCAAGACCTGAATAAAAATGGACTCTCTACTTCAGCTATATCAGTGGACAGGTAGCCTAGTGGTCAAAGCGTTGCTAAATTATCAGTAAAAAGACAAAAGCTTCTGGTACTTCCAAACTAAAATAGCTTCGTACCGATCAGTGAGTGCTTTTGCAGAACCTTATTTGAAGCAAAAGCCATAGAAAACGCCGTATGAGAAAAAAATTAAATAAACCTAAAAAACAATGCTTCAAGTAATACATAAAGTTCAAATCCCGCCAGATCCAATAAATTGGGAAAGCTATGCTGAACCAGAAAGGTGAAAGTATGTTCAAGAATAGAAGTTCCTTACATATTGGTAGATATCAAAGGATACTTGTACAATGCCTTTTTCAGGAAGAAAGGTGTGAAGAGCACTATCTAAAAAATTGAACTGCCACTCTGTTTTATAGAGAGAACTTTTACTGTGAAATCCAAAATTTAGATACTTATTTTATTGTTTTGTTATTCAGATAAAATGGACCATTCTGAACCAATTTGAAAAACAAAAATCTAAAAAAATGGTATGGTACAGTATTCTACTGTATTATATGAAACTCTGAACTCAACACTGATCTTTGCATAAAAATGTGTAACCCAACAAAGAAACTTTGTGTAACTCAACAAAGAAAACATATCATACTTGATTTCCGAAAATATGTTTGTTCCAGTAGCACCTATAATATTAAAAAAATGTAATGAGCTTTTATGGTATTCTGATCTGAAATTCCAAAGTCTTGCCACTGATTGCATTTTTGTATGATAGGGTAACTTAGAAAATTTCAATTCACAGTATTATAAAAAATGTAAACATGTTCTGCCATTCTTATCAGGAATTCAGAACATGCATGATTTTTCTAATATATTGGGATTTCAGCGAGAAGTAAGTATATTTATTGATGTTTCAAAAACTCCAATAAAATTTTACACTGCCTATGAATATTTATCCTTAGTTAATTAGGACCACACTGAATCCATGAGTAGATGAGAATATATTATAATATGTCAGAATATTGTGATCAATAGTGTCACCAGCTACTACTATGATATGCAAAAAATGGTTGGAGTTTTTTTTGTAATAGTAAAACATACCTGGTGATTGCACATCCTTTGTATTACCCCTCTTCTCCTCCATCATCTTTTGCCTGGAAAGAATACAAAATTTTAATGGAATTTCAAAATGGAAATATATTCAATTATTCAATGATTGTTAATCGATATTTCAGAATCAAATGTTTCCTTTTGGGAAATTGCGAGAGTGATTTGAGTAGACACCTTCTCCTTATATCATCTGCCACCATTTTCTCATCATTCCCAAGCCAGGTAATCTATTTATCTAATCAATTCACCTCCTCATTCGACTTCGCTTATCTGCTTCTCTCCTTATTTTTCGCTCTTTAATCTGAAAAATATATACTTTAAAAACATTCAAAAATACAGACATTTTTGCGATTCTGGGTGC